TTGTTCAATTTTAAATGTACTAGAACATGTTTCCCGCTTCCTGACATACCCCAATAATCAGGAACTTCCAAAGTACTCCTTACTTTAGGTGAGCAGACAATTATTATGAGAGAAGTCAGATTTAGAATGCATATGCTATACACCCAGGTCGGATCTCTTCCAATCTCGCAGAGGGTGAAACATATGACTAACCAGATTTAGAGGGATTGAGAAGTAGAATGGTGCATATACTGTGTACCAGGTCGGATGGTTAATCACGCAAAGGAGACAACATATGACTAACAGATAGAAAGAATTGCATAGATAGAAGATGTAGAGAGATAGAGTTACATATGTTACAGTCCAGGTCGGATCTCTCGATCACGCAGAGGAGGCAACATATGACTAACAGAAAGAAAGCATGAAAATAATTTCCTACAGACCTACTTTATCGGAATTCCCCAGTCGCCCCATCAATACCGGAATTAAGGACAAAGTTCGTACATCGAGGAAGAGTTAAACCACGGTTCTAGATAAAAATTATTTTAGTGTGACCGGTGGATTATCATGTATATCTCCCTGCTCAACCTATTTGGGTGTCGTATTGTCAGGCTAAATGGATCTATCTAGGTCAAGATTTTTCAAGTCTCTAGATTCCTTAAGTTCATTAATGCCTAGTCAAGTCCATTTTAATCTTTCGTGCCTACCAGCGCATCGAACACAGAGCGTAGACGATTTAATTTTGGTACGTTACGCAGATTCAGATTGCCTGTTATCACTTGATAATATCACTTCCCAAAACATCTCCCTCAAGCACATTTCATTAACACCATATTTTTTTTAAATATTCTAATTTTTGTTTTGTTTTTATTTCTCCCCCTAAATTTGTGCATAGGAGAGAAACGAAAGTAAATGCGCAAATTTAAACTATCCTAAAACAAAAATTAGTCTTTAAAGCGAATCAGCTTAACAAAAACTCAGGAGTATAGAGAAGAACACTCAAACCGTAAGTCACCGATTGAATTTGCATCCAGAAGGTCTGAGAACAACACGCGTAATCTCAGAACAGATCCAAAAATTCTTCACATCGTTAAGCACTAACGCCATGAGTGACTCCCTTCCTTTCTTCCCCTCCCGCAAAGGACACATACTCTAAAATAATGTTCTGAGTGTTGTACAGTTGAGAGATGTCCCCTATCATGTGCCTGGAACAGCCACTACCAACAAACCGAAGTCTGATGATATGCCTCCATAGCTGCTCCGACACAGAGCGGGATTAGTTGGTCTTTGGAACCCAGTCCATTTTGAAACTGGGTTGACCTTTTTCATCCTTGCACGGTACTCTCTCCCATGACATATCCTGTTTATCACAAACAGAAGATGAAGAAATATTAGAATCGTTAGAAGATTTAGGAGAGTGAGCCTTTGGAACCCATTTGTAGTTGGGTTTAACCTATTTCTTTTTCGATCTGATGGGTGGCTCAGTACTTGCTTTTGATCTTGATGTCGGCCGTTGAGATGACTTTGATTTTGGCTTCACGGGAGCATCTCTTGGATTGGACTTCTTGGCCGGCATACCCTTCTTGCCCTTGGGAGTTGGATTCTTGGCCTTCTGCGCGTTCCAGTCACCATGGTCTGAACGTAACCTTGAGGGGTTTCTTTTGAAGTATCTCCCTCTTGGCGCGTTCTGCCAGCCTTGTGCATAGTAGGGAACATATGCGCAATTAGGACAATTTCTGGCAATGTGTTCAGGTGTTCCACAGTGAAAACAAGTCTTTTTCTTCACTGGGAAGTGGTGGCGTATCCTTGCCTTGTCTCTTATTGTTCCCACAAGCACAATTACAACAGGCACTCTGTTTCACTAGAATTGGTGGCCTGTATTTCTCAACAGCAGGTTTATCAGAAGCAGCTAAGTTCGAAGCAACAGATTCAGAGTTCAAGGAGATGTTGGTTTGTTCAATGGTGTTCTCCTTGTTCTCATCCTCTGCTACTTTACCTACACATGAAGTAGATGTACTAGAAACAGGAACATCAGTATTTTCAAACAAATAATCAAATATGTAAAAAAAATTCAACTCAACATGATCTGATGCAGAAGCATCACAAGATGTATCATCAATTTTAACATCAGGAACAATAGAGTTTTCATTCGAAAGAGAAACATCAGGTTCAGACTCAGTTTTGTTATCAGAAACAGATCCTTCAACTTCGTGCTTTGACTGATCTAAGGATTGATCTGCAGGGGATGTAGAAAGGTTAGTACTTTCAACGTTAATAAATCCTCCTGAAACAAAACCAGATGGCTTGCCATACACCATGAAAGGTTCGTTGGCAATCTCATCTTTAGACAAGAGTTGATACTGATATGTATGATTATAAGGAGGAGGTACACTATCGTATCCTAAACCCTTCTACTGGTTTCGTTTGAACTGCATGCAATGATCAATCATGTTGGCAACTACCTCGCTTGATCCATCAAATTTTTTAAAATCAAAATTTGCAGTATCAAATTGTCTCTTTAATGTATCAAGCTCAGTAATTAACTCATCATTCTGTCTCTTAATATAATCATAAAAGTTCATATTTTTCACTGTATTCTGTCTGAATTCTCTTAAAGTCCTTTATTTTTGTCTCTAACTGGGCCTTTAGGGGTTTCTGTCCTTTCCTGAGTTGATATCCTTCATATCTCAGGTCCTCAACTTCTCTTTTTAATAAATCAATTTGTTCCCGAAGAAACTTAATCGTAGTTTTACAAGATGGATTACATGAAACTTCATTGACTGGAACGTTTGAAGAACTCATTTTTTTTTTAAATATGCCCTTTGACTAAAAACTTAAAGTCAACCTCAAAAGTCAAATTTAAAAAGTCAAACTCAAAAGTCAAACTTGAAAAGTCAAACTTAAAAGTCAAACCGAAAAGCTAAATTTGAAAATTTAAAAGTTAAACGAGAAAGTCAAAGTTTAAAGTCAAAGGTCAAGTTTTAAAAGTCAAAGTCAAAATTTTAAATAAAAAGTCAAAAATAAAAGTCAAAATTTAAAAACTAAAATTTTTGGTTGAAAAAGAAATTTAAAAAATGAAAGAAATTGATTTTTGGGGTTAAAAGTGTTAAATTTGCGAAAGCGGTGCGACAGGGAGTGTTTATGAATTAAATTTTGAAGTGTTGTTCCATCTAGCAAGCTAGATCAACTGGTAAGGCGCCTTGCTGAAGAATCAGAGGTCGCGGGTTCGAATCCAAGCAGGCGCAAAAACACTTCCTATTTTTTTAGATGCGAAGACGAGGCTGCTGCTTGCGAGGACGAGATGCGAGGCGCGAGACCGAGGCTGTTGAACGAGAAGGCGTGCGAACCGGAAACGCTGCTGGACCGTACACGTACGAGCCGTAAACTCGGAGGGCCGTAATCTCGGACCGCAAACTCCGGCGCCGTAAACTCAGAAACCCTAGCTGCTGACCGTACACGCCGCCACCCCCTCGCTGGTTACGACCAAAAACAGCGTTTTTCACCCTTTTTGCTCCAAAACTCGATCAAAAACTCATTTTTATCAAAAACGCGAAGAACAAACCCCCCTTATTTTGCAGAGATCTATCCAAAAACGCAAAAATCTTTCAAAAATAAGATCAAATAAGCTCCAGATCTGACAAAAATAACTGATACAATCCAAGCTCTGATACCAATTGTAAGTCCCCAAACTGCTTGTGTATCAATCAGATCCGTTTGATGGTGCGGAATCTCAATCAAACGGATGATGTCAGATAAAATAGAAGAGAAGAAGAAGAAGAATATGATGAATCTATGTATGAATTGATTAGAATGAAGATCCAGATACAAAAGATTCACACACACAAAATTTCTCTCTAGTTTCTCTCTCTAGAACACCTTGGGTTTCACACACTTAAGCTCTCATTCTCTATTCATTTATCCCTCCTCAACCACCTAAACCCTATATATATAATATATATATATATATATATAATATATATATATATATATAGATATATATATATATATATACTTGGGGAATATGGGCCATAAATGGGTTTACGGCCGTAAACACCAATTGGGCCGTAAATACAACTGCAAAAATATATTACACGACCAAAAACTATTAATGCCTAGAAAAGTAAAGTATAAACTATATTTTTGACCCAACAATGACAATGATGGTTGATGTTTTTTTAGTATTATGAACAATGTTAGTTAACTACTTATTGTAATATTAAACTTGAATTTGATGTTTTGAATTTGAACAATGGTACCTAGTTAATGTATTTCAATTGATATATGCTGCAATGTTTTTTGGATTTGTTAAAAATACAGGAATGGTAATGTACAAAACCAGTAAATCTAAAATAAAAACAACCAATATCTATCCCGAAAACTTTATTTTTTTCTCCCGAAAATATTGTTGACAAAAGCTGTACCGACAACATGTTGTCTCAATAGAGTACGCTATGCCGACGACCTAACAGACCTATGCCGACACGCCTGTGCCGACGACCCTATACCGACGACTTGTCGTCGCCATACCCTATACCGACGACTTGTCGTCTGGATAGGGTCTGAATTTGTCATCTCCACAGGGTTCGATTGTTGTAGTGTTATCCCATGAAAGATTCTTGGTAATGCTTTGAATAGTTAACAAAATTCTTATAGACGTTTAATGAACATCTCATTGTCAAAAACTTCACATAGGAACACTTCATAAATTATGTCACTAAACTGAAACTTCAGTTATCTGCAGTTTATTAAATTCTTTTATATGACTTGCTGTTTATTAAATTATTTTATATGACTTGTAATTTGAAACTATTGTGAAGTTTCCTTTGACCATATAGAACGACCATTTAAGCTTTAACTACTGGTATATATATAAGACAAACACGTTTCTAGTTCTACGAACTACGAAGGTTTATTGTTCTTAAAGTAGTCCATTCTACATTCCTTGATACTATCAGGTTGTCTTTACTTAAGATCTAGAAACGATAAAGGTGACATTTTTATCGTATTGCTCTTGATAAGTTATGAGAGCTCCAAAATATGATGCACTATCAGGTTTGAATAAAGGCGCATGGACTGCCGAAGAAGATGAAAAGTTAATAACTTACATCAATAAATACGGCATTTGGAATTGGTGTAAGATGCCTCCGTATGCAGGTAATTATAATGATCTCGTTGCAATTCATCATGTGTTTCTTAAAATCTATCGTAAGTAGAAGAAGATGATCTTATATCTATTGACTCTTGTGATTGTGTATTTGGTTGTTTACTTGTTTATTTGTTTTAGGTCTTTCGAGAACGGGAAAAAGTTGCAGGTTAAGATGGATGAATTATCTGAAGCCAAATATAAAACGAGGGAACTTCACGAGTGAAGAAGAAGAAACGATAATTTATCACCATTCAATCTATGGGAATAGGTAATTTACACATTTAACTAAGCATACACTTTCTTTATATCTCATTTAAAATAATTCGCTCCGTTCAACAATCAAAACATAATTTATTTAAATTCCACAGCGTCTTTTTCTGTACTAAAATTATCTGATTGGTCTTTATAGTCTTTACAAACAAAATTATATCGCATTGACTTAAATGAACGTACTTCGTTTTTTCTGTTTTTTATCATGGATATTTGAATATACTTAAAAGACTTTTATAAATTTGTATATCAGACTAAAGATAACAAAAAATACTAAAATGTTTAAAGGTTGCATAATTAAATTCTAAGAGTAATATTGAATAAATATTAGGACAAAAAATTAAAAAATAACTAACGAACTATTTTATTTGTTCACACTTGGTTATTAAGTTTATTTGTGTTTACTTTCAGGCAATAAATATTTCAAAATCGTTTTTTTTTCTGTCAATGAACATATTTTTTTCACTTTTAGGTAATTAACTTTCCAAATTTATATAATTTTAATCTTGTTTTCGAAACATTTAAGCTAGAAAAAATAAATTTTTTGATAATATTCGGTCTTTCTCCTACTTCTGGATTAGTAATAGACGTAGATATGTTAGAATTTCTTAGGATTGTTGGTTATGCTTTCGGAAAATAAGTTTTAAATGTATGTAATTTCTAGTTTCTTGTTAGTGGTTTTTTATTGATATCTCCTGTCATTCAAAAAAAAAATGCACAAAAATAAAAGAGGGGCTAAATGTACAAGATTTTGAAAAGTTTATTAGCTAAAAGTTGACAAAATAAAATGAACGACTAAAGTGGATAAACTGAATAGATTTTTTGGTCATTTTTATTAATTTCCTTAATTCTTTTATTAATAATTATAAATTATATTGACATCTATTTCTTTATTTTTTGTTAACCATCTTATTTTGATTTTGAATATCAAACTATCTTTTAACAAAATGATCGTTATTAAGTATTTTATATATTGGGTTTCTTCCAAAACTAAATCATATGATAATGCTCTTAAATCTTTCACTGGACATTTAGTAGAATCGTAAGATACATTTTTATAAATAGGCCGTTCTATGCTATTTAAATTATAATATATTTTTTTCAAAATTTATTCAATAATAAAAATTTGAAGAAATTTGTTTAATATGAAATAAAAAAAAATAAAAAAAAATAAAAGTATTCAATGTTATAGTACAACTAATTAAGGAATACATTCGCAAAATAAGTATCTTATCATGTGAAACTTGATGATAGATGGTCTGCCATTGCAAGTAAGTTACCGGGTAGAACGGATAATGAAGTCAAAAACTATTGGCACACCCATCTCAAGAAACAAGTGACAAAAGATCCAATGTCAGAAACAAAATTACCAGCAGAAATAAAAACATTAAATAATGATGTTGAAAGTTCAATTGAGTCTACTACTGATCACATCTTCTCAAGTATCACGGATGACCATGACACTTCATCATGCCTGTTCGATATATGTTCTAGATGTGAACCCAAAGTCAAGTTTGACCAATTTCAATATGAGTTCCCCCGGAACAGTTGAGGATGTTGAAAGTTTTTGGCAACAGCTTTACTTTAACAATGAAGACTTGAAGTTTCAATATCTTCCTGAGGATACATTCTCAAATGAATCTGTTGTTTCCTCCAATTTGCACGATATATAAGTCGTGGAATGATTAAATAACTTGTTTGAGTTATTGAAGTTCCTTTAATTTCATCTAAAGGTCTTTATAACAACTGAACTTTTGCAAGTGGTTGGTCATGTTTTTTCCATTATAATCTAAGGGTTTCAAATTTGAATCGGCATGTGCCAAGTGATTAATACAGTGTAGTAAATTACATTTGCATAAGCCAATTTGATTCCACTAAATAAATTAAGGTGTCTGTTTTTTTAAATGTGCAAACTTTGCTGCGGACCACATCTACAGAAAAAGTGGTTGATGAAATAGTCTGGAATTTGCATCAAAAAGTTATTTGTTTTTCAAAAAAAAAATATTTGTTTTTGAACGCGTGCATGCTATTAAAATAAAATATAAATAAACTTGTTATAATTATATTTTCATTTTTTTATGTATCAATCACTACTAAATTGTATATTACCAATTATAATTAGTCCATTAATCAAAACAAAATTTAACAATATTGTTAAGACAAATATTTCAAAAAATGATTTTTTTAAATATTTTTAGAATTTACCGAAAAGAATATGCAAAAAGATAAATAAGTAAATAATAAAGAACGCTAATTTGTTAAGTGGAGGAATCATAAAAAACCAAGATATAAAAATATTTGTAAACAAGTCTTTTAAAAAACTAATTTTGGAAAAACTTAATGTAAAAAACTAATAAAAAAGTAATATATGTAAAATAATAGAAAACAGATCTCTACAAAAATCAATTCGTAAATACGAAGAAATTTTATAAAAATACATATAAAAACAAATATAAATAAATAAATGTTAAAATAATAACTTACAAAGCTAATATATTTAAAAAGAATATCATTAAAAACACAAAGTTAGTAAAAAAAACTAACAAAGATTTCATTAAAAATGATTAAAGTAATTATAAAAAGAAAAAAAAAAAAAAAAAAAAAATATATATATATATAGATATTATATATATGATATAGATATATATATATAGATATATATATATATATATATATATATATATATATATATATATATATATATGGAAGAGGTAAAAAGAAGCTAAAAGATGTTAAGAGACATAGGTCCACATTTTTGTCAAGAAGATGACATACAGACCTTTTTAAGTATACGGTCTTCTAAAAAATAAATAGTTTGCGGGACCAAACGTCTGCACGTTTTCTGCACGGCGCATATATAAGAGCCCAGGAAGAGCTTTTGAAAAATAATAATAATAATAATAATAATAATAATAATAATAATAATAAAATAAAAAAAAATAAAGAACACAACCTAAGTATTGTCATGTCAATAATTTCAAGTAAAGTTAATATTTGTAAGAATATGATTTCCGATATCTTATTATAAAAAAGACTAATGGTCTATACAAAATGGGTCTAACAGACTAACATGGCCTAACCAATGCTTACCCATATACAAAAACAGTCTAACATCCCCCAGTGTGGAGGCAGTTTGATCATAGGATATGGTCTAAACGTTCAAACTTAACCAAAACTCATGAAATAGAAACTATCGAAGCCCTTTGGTGAATATATCGACATATTTAGAACTGGTGGGAACGTGGAGAACTCGAACCCGACAAAAGGGAACCTGAAAACACAATGCGTGGATGCATATCTCAATTTGTTGTGTTTACTAATGCTACATTAGGTTTGTATACATATAGACGATGTTGCTCACGATGTATTATCGTTTCTTTAGTAGCGAGGCTTGTAACTTCGCAAAGAAAGGTCTAAAGACACCAAGTCTCTGCAACAACATTGGTGACACCATTGTACTCAACCTCTAACTTGATATTGAAGCTAGAGATAACACCATGTCATTTAAAGGGACAAGAAAGCATATTATCATTTAGAGATACACATTAGTCGAACGTAGTTCACTATGTGTAGGGATAAACCCCACGGTCTGCATCATAGTAAGAAATACAGCCTATAGTAGGTTGAACATAGAGTTAAAGATCATACTTTAGTGTCACATGAATGTATCTAAGTATGCACATAAGATTTCTAATATAAGCATCTAGTGGTCCACACATATAAAGACAATTTCTTAGATAACATGATATCCAATGTAACATACTAAACTATAGCATCTAAACTCTTATGGAGCATGGGATCAGCAACATGTATGTGTGGAGATTAGAAAAAACTCTCCTTAAGGATCAATTAAACTTAAAGAATAAAGATAAATGAGGAACCGTAAGTAACAAAATATATAAACACAACATTATTAATTGAATAACGCAAATATAAGGAACTAAGTTGTTTCAATTACAGCTTGCAAACAAAGCAATAACTAAGTATGGACAATGATAGTTTGGTGGAATATATGACTTTTACTTCTATGAAATGTTGAAGACATATTACAACTCATACATTTAAACACATACCTCATGAACCCTATTTATAGTACAAACTAGATGTGTTGTATAAGGTTAATACATTTTTCGGTATGGTCGATATTACTCTGAATTACACCCATCCACTGACAACAGATTACAATATATATTCTCTAATAAACAAATAGTTAAAAAGCAACTTTGGTGTTGTGAACACTAAAGGTTGGTCTTCATGTCTTTGAGGCGATTTTGATCTTTGTTCCTCTTGTCATTACTCCAACCTTCCTTCCACACCAAAACCTTCACCCATCCACTACTTCTTTTTTCACAACCTTAGATGTAGAGGTCACTTCAGCACATGTACCAACATTCTTTCAACCATAAGCTTTTTCAACTCTGTAGAGGAATGCTTTGGTCTCAAGACAACATCAACTGATGGGTTTGATAACTAAAAATTATACTTGTTCTTAAGAACGTCAACATAAGCAATATAAAAATAACTATTATTTTTTACCATTTTAAAACGAAACCATCAAGAATCCAATTATATAGGTTAGATTGATATTAAAACAACCATAGGGTGTTTTAGAATGATAACCTTTGGAACTTTGTTCCAACTCGAATTTGGGGAGTTAATGAAGGTGGAAAAGATAAGAGGCTTGATCTTACCTGCAAGTATCCATGAACAAGATTAAGTCATAAAGGAATGCTAGTTCTCTTCTTGTATCTTGAACTTCTTAAGCCTTTAAGTACATATCAGAATTAAGTACTAAAGGAGAAGCACTTCTAAACAACTAATACTCTTAACTAGCTTCAAAAGAGAGAAAGAGAGGGAGAGGGAAAACACTCTCGGGTGTGAGGAAGAAAATGAGAGAAAAAGTAGCCAAATTGCAAGCCTTACTTATCCCTATATACTCACATTCAAGATCTAATACCCACGCTTCTATTTAATGAAAATAGATGGTCACTTAGAGGAATATAGTGTGTAAGAGGTAGGTTGACAAGAACAGGGAAGTTGTAGGTGGCTTCTTATGCTTGAAGGAAAACTAACTCCATAAATGTGCACTAATGAGCTCCTCAAATCACCCAGAACTTCAAGCACCTCAAGCAACGACCATGGGGGGCTAGGGTTTCGGAATAGGAGGACGGAGGTTGATTCTTTGAGAAACCCTAGAAGTTAATGATGCTTATATAGGTCCAAAACCCAAAACATAGGGTTTTATGCACACAGCGGTGCCAGCCGCGGTCATTAAATGACTATCGCGTCGCGGTTATGTGGCAATACCACGCCGTAGTAATCCAACAACCGTGCCACGGGAGATTAAAACCCCTAATATCCAATTAAAATTTTAACATGGAAAAATGTATTTCAAACCTGATATTGGTTGTTACAATTATCCCCCACTTATTTAGATTTCATCATCGAAATCCGTCCTATCAGGGTACTGATTGTGATTCTCTACCGCAAATTCTCATCTTCATTCTGATCCTTTCTGGTGTCAATTTCCTTGTTCCAAAGATTCTTCATCTTCCAGTCAAGAATAGTTACATGTTGTTCTATACAACTCAACCTTTCATCCACATGGATATCATCGAGAGGTATGGGTGAGAATGGTTCGGTTTGGGTTGGTTTTGACCTAAAACCGAACCCAAAACAGACAAGTTTCAATTTTAAAAAGTTAAACCCAAACCCAAACTGAACCCAAAGGGTTCGTGTAACAATTGGTATGTGGTCATTTCTAAATTCAGGGCTGTGGATCGAAGGTTGATCATGTAAAGGCTTTGAGCCATAAGGAAGTAAAGTTTAGACCCTTTGAGAGGTGATAATGCGGGTAGTGATGTCTAACCCTTGAATTGTGTGTTGGATTGAAGGGTAGAAAAGGAAAAGTTATAGATCAGGTTTCTTGCATGAATTAAGGATTTTGGTTCAATATGTTTTAGTCCAAAGGAGCTAGATAATATTGTAGGACTCTTCAATACCTTTCCATGCATATAAAGAACGCAAAAAACGGAGTTAAAACGAAGAAGTTAGAGTTGTTTGAAATTGACTAGAAAATGGAGTTTAGGATCCTATGCTCGGCGTACATGAGGAGTACGCATGGCATAGCTCATTAAATGGATCGCAAGTGCATGTAAGTACGTTGCACGTACTCATGAGGTACTGTAACAACCCAAAAATCAGGTCCAAAAATTTCATTTTAAATCATTAATAAAACCATATTTATCCAAAACACATGTCATAGTATGTCAAATGTCATATAAATATATATATCAAAATATCGGAGTCTAAAACATCCCGGGCTGAACTATGGTGTGTGCGATGCGATCATCCCGAGCTCTTCCTTCCGCTACCGGAAGTACCTGAAACCAAAAGTGAAAACCGTAAGCACGAAGCTTAGTGAGTTCCCCAACCTACCACATACCATACACATAACCACATACTGGGCCCCTGCCCGCTGCATCGAAACTTGCCTGGCATCAGACTCGCTCCGGCATCGGGCCCCGCCCGGCATCAGGCCCCGCCTGGCAT